ACTGAGCCACAGGGTGCAGCAGAGCTTTTATTGTTTGGATGCAGTCCAGGAACTGCCATTGTGGGAAAGGTGCCTTGCAGGCTTGGCCCTTAGGGTACTAGTGTGAGGCCAGCTCTGGCATGCCTGATAAGTGGGGCAGCCATTCCTGGGGAGATTTGAGTAACACGTGGGAAAACCACTGTGTAGCCATAGGACATGGTTTGTAAAAGTCAATGTGTGTCAATTAAGTGGGCTGAGTAGGGCTTCATGCTCCCAACCCTGTGGGGACTGAGGATGAAGAAGTCAGGAATACAGGACAGTGTCCTTGGCAAGACAATGGCTTCCAGTCTCCATCTTATATAGTTGTATCAGTGTTGTGACTAACATCTCATACCCCAGAAGATTACCTGCTGCCCAGACAATCTACAGCAAGGAAGTATGGAGAATCCTCAAAGAACTCAAATTAGACCTCCCATTTGATCCTGCAATCCCATTATTAAGCATCTACCCAGAAGAAAAAAATTATTTTATCATAAGGACATTTGCACTAGACTATAACAGCTCAATTTACAATCACCAACTGTGGAAACAACCTAAATGCCCACCAACCCAGGATTGGATTAACAAGCTGCAGTATGTGTATACCACAGAATGCTATTCAGCCATCAAAAAGATGGAAACTTTACATCTTTTGTATTAACCTGGATGGAGGTGGAACACAGTAAAGCATCACAAGAATGGAGAAGCAAGAATCCAATGTACTCAATTCTAAAATGAAGGCAATAGATGATATATTACAAAGTAAGGGGTAGGGGAAAGAAGGAGGAGGGAGGAAATGAGAGGTCACAGTGTGTGGCACACCACTCGGGGCAGGACACAATTATAAGAGGGACTTTACCTAACAAATGCAATCAGTGTAACCTAATTCTTTGTACCTCAAGGAATCTCAAACCATAAAAAAAAAAGACTATGTGTGTAGTATACACTCTGAAACCTTTACCTTTCCCACATAATTTTCTTTTGAAACAAATAATATTTTCCTAATTATATAAAAAAGTAAACTTCAACATGGTGGCAGTGAAGTAGTGATCTTTGATGGGTGTCGGGGTTCTCTCTATGATGACAAATACTGCTTATGAAAGAACATTTTATATGTGGATGGTACAAAGACATAGAAACATTTCAGAACCCATATGTTGGAGGAAGATGATCAAGACTGAAATTAGTCAATTTAGGCAAGCTCTGGGACTCAAAGTCAATTTAGGGCAAAGCTCTGAAATTAGTCAATTTAGGCAAGCTCTGGGACTCAAGTTCTACTACTAGAGATTAATGTTTACTCCCAAGGTTTCTCTCCTGCCATTAGAATAGACCAGCCGTCTACAAACTTTCTGTGAGGGACCAGATAGAAATATATTAGTCATTACAGGCCATGAATGATCTCTGTTGCATACACTTGTCTGCTTGTATTTGTAATCCTTTAAACATGTAACAGCCATTCTTAACTCATAGTCCATACAGAAGCAGACTGCAGGCCAAATTCATGGGCTATAGTTTTCCCACCCCTCGATTAGAGCCCAGAACATAGTGATTTCTCAATGTCCATTTATTAAAGGAATAAACCTCATCTCAGAGTGGTTAATAAATAGGTAATTTATCTTTTTTTTTTTGAGACAGAATCTCAGTATTTTGCCCAATGCTACAGTGTCATGGCATCATAGCTCATAGCAACCTCAAACTCTTGGGCTCAAGCAATCCTCCTGCCTCAGCCTCCTAAGTAGCTGGGACTACAGGCGCCCGCCACAACGCCTGGCTATTTTTTTGTTGTTGTCGTTGTTTAGCAGGCCCGGGCCGGTTTTGAACCCACCAGCCCTGGTGCATGTGGCCAGTGTCCTAACCACTGAGCTACAGGTGCCAGCCTGGCAAGTCAATTTTATTAATGAATATAGAGAAGTTAAACAATGTTGGCAAATTAGATCTAGCTTAAGTTTTTTTTTTTTTTTTTTGAGACAGAGCCTCAAGCTGTCCCCCTGGATAGAGTGCCGTGGCATTACAGCTCACAGCAACCTCCAAGTCCTGGGCTCAAGCGAGTCTCCTGCCTCCGCCTCCCAAGTAGCTGGGACCACAGGTGCCTGCCACAACGCCCGGCTATTTTTTGGTTGCAGCCGTCATTGTTGTTTGGCGGGTCCGGGCTGGGGATTCGAACCCGCCACCTTAGGTGTACGTGGCTGGCGCCTTAGCCGGTTGAGCTATAGGCACCGAGCCAGATCTAGCTAAGTTTTAAACAATTACTAGACATGACTAAGGAATCTTTTTCCTGGAATGTAGCACGGTTACATTCAATGTGTGCTGGGGCTCTCTTGTGGTAGCATGTGAAAGCCAACTGTACACTTTTCTCAACTCTGCATTCAATGACACCACATATGTAGTTTGAAGTAAGGCATGATGGGAGTGTTATTCATATCATGGAAATCAGCAGATTTTACAAATCAAGGCCTTTTCTCCCTAACCTCTGTTCACTTTGCCCCTGAGTTGGTTGGTTGTCACTTGCTAGCATACTATTGAGAGGAAATGTGATTATGTGAAAGATACCAGAAAAGTATTTGATAAAACTCAGCTGTCATCCCAAATAAAGTAGGAATGGAAGGAAACTTTAAAAACATTATTAAAAAGTACTTGTTTGAGGGTGGCATCTGTGGTTCAAAGGAGCAGGGCACCGGCCCCATGTACTGTAGGTGGCGGGTTCAAACCCAGCCCCTGCCAAAAACTGCAAAAAAAAAGTATTTGTTTGAAACTAACTGAACAATATATTAAATAGTGATACATGTGACACGTTCCCATTAAAGTCAGGAACAAGATAGGCTTATTTGTGTGTGTGTGTTGGGGGGTGTCTGTGTGTACGTACTTCAATCACAGAAATATTTAGGGTGATTACTGTTTCCTGTTTACCAGGCTGGTTAGAACCAAATACTATGTATGAGACAGGGTTCTTTTTTTTAAAAAAAACTGGACAAACCAGAGTTTATTCAGTCCAGTAAACAATTTAATAAGTGTCAGTTTGATAGTTGAAACAGGGTTCTAACAAAGAATAGGAAATACACAAATGAGGTTAATTTGAGGAAGATTTAACAAAGGTACTAGTTAGGAAAGTGGTGGCAGTGTATTACCATCTCTAGACTTGAAGGGATAAGGAGAAAGAGCAGAATCCTAAAGGAAATAATTGGGTAAATTATTTTGTGGTTACAAAATTACCAAAAATTATTTGACATGTCTTCCATTGAGAAATAGGGTCTATGTCCCTTCCCTTTGAATCCGGATGAATGTGTGATTGGTTATAATCAATAAGATGTATTAAAAGTGATGCTGCATAACTCAGAAGACTAGGTCTGAAAAGGTGGTGTGTTCTCCACCTTGTTAACTGTAGCACTCACATTTAGAAGTCCTAAGATGGGATTGATAATGTGTCAGAAAGCCCAGACCTCAAGGGAAAGCCATGTAAAGTTATTTCAGTCAATAACCCCTGATTTTGTCCTAGCTGAAAGCCACTATCAACTACCAGAAATACAAGTGAAGATGCTTACACTTGATTCCAATACCCAGCTGTTAAATATTCTCAGCTGAGTCCCCAGACACTGTGGAATAGAGACTGCCCATCCCTGCTGTGCCCTGTCTAGAGTCCTGACCTACAGAATCCATGAACAAAACAAAATAGTTGTTATTATGACACTACATTTTGGAGAGGTTTGGTGCACAGCTATAGTAATGGGTACAGGCAGAGAAAGCCACTCTGAGGGGAGCATTGACCTTCTGTGGATAAAGTCACAAGGAAGGAAGTCAGGAGAATAAATATGCCAGTCTTACTCTAATCTAGTGGTTCTCAACCTGTGGGTCATGACCCCTTTGTAACAATGAAAATACATCCTACATATCAGATATTTACATTAAGATTCATAACAGTAGCAAAATTACAGTTACGAAGCAGCAACGAAAATAATTTTATGGTTGGGGTCGCTACAACATGAGGAACTATATTAAAGGGTCACAGCCTTAGGAGGCATTAGGAAGGTTGAGAACCACTGCTCTAATCTTTCGTCAGTGCTTTCTGTTGGTAAAATCCAACCAAAGCTACAGAACAAGATACCTTTTTTGACTTATTCTATGCAGGCTTGCATCACAGAACAAGAAGTGGGCAGAGAAGCAGGAAAATGGATGTAATGGGGCAAACAAAAATTATGTTGTGCAGGGCCATTTGTGGACTTTGAACTTTTCTGAACACAACAAGAAGACATTGAAAGGTTTTGGGCTGGGGATAAGATGATTATTCTGAAAATGATGTATAGCTTTTATTAGAGAAGACATCAGAAAAAGAGGAAGACTGTTTAGTAGTAGTGTAACATAACAGATCAAGTATGAGGTGATGGGGCTCTGGTGACTGTAGTGTAAGAGGAAACAAGGAAGTGATGCAAGAGGCAAAGGAAGAATTGACCAGATTTATGGATCAATTCATAGGGTAGCATAAAAATGAGAGAAAAGTAGACAATAATTTTAAGGTTTTAAGACTTTTAAATTAAGAGTCTTCAGCTCACCCTTATGGAATTCATCAGTTTTTGAGGTTTCACATATCCTTTTATGTGGAAATCACAAATATTCATTCCTATTCATGGTTTTACCCCCTAAACTCAAGTCTTTCACTTACTACCCTCTGGACATTTCACCCTGATTGGCTAACTATCATCTCAAAGGTAGGATATCCATAAGCAAACTAACAATCTTATCAAAGCACCCAGTCCCGATTCACATATTTCTGTCAGTAGAGCAACTTTTCATTTCTATCATCTATGAGAACCTTGATACTACTTCATTTTTGTTTATATGTCCACAATCACTCCTATTTCCCAAAGGTGAAAAATTCTTTTTTGGATTTAAATTTGCAGAAGCTAGGAATGTTTGTATGGTATCTGAAATCTGTCAAGAGCCCTTAAAAGAAAAATTTATGTAATCTCTCAAAAGGACTAATTACATACCATTAAGGTCCCAGTGGAATTTCCTCGGTAAGTCTGCCACTTCTTCCCATCAAGACTATACATGATGATGAACTGAGAGATGTAGAGGCTGGAGAACTTCTGACGGGTACCCTGGGTCTTGATGCCATGGATAATCTTTGGTGCCAACAGATCCACCTACCAATTAAAACAACACTTTAACTTGTTTTTAAATGTGTGTACAACCTCCCGAAATTAATTATTGGCTTAGGAAGAATCTACATTGCTACAGATATGCCTAGCATTTACCTTAGATGTGCAGGTGAAGCAGACACCTGAAAGGGTGAAATGTGGACATGTGTGTGAAGCTGTGGCATAAACGGTAGGAATGATTAAGAAGATGCTTATTGAATTCTTATCCAGCCTTCTGGCAAACTAGACCATTTCCAAATTATTGAGCCCCCAGTTCCTCTGTACACACATCTTTTATGCTGCTCATATGGACTCATCGGCCTCAATCTAGCCAAAGCCAATTTCCCATTATCTCCCCAGAGCAGCCCCATCCCAGTGTTGCTATTAGCTTTAAACTGCTACACCTCCTTTAAGTGTTATTCAGAAACTATTTCTCCAAGTCTTCTCTGACTTATCTAGACAAATTTAGTGCTGCTTCTATGCTTCCACTTTACTTTAGATGAAGTCTGATAATTAAGTTTACAAACTCATCCCAGAAAAAGTTCTATATGTCATTAATGAATATCACTACAGTTTACCAAAAGGCCAAGGAAAATATTTTGAAGGTTACCATATAACTTCATTGATATAACTTCATTATAGGAAACTTTGCACCATATTATATAGGTTGCTTTGCTTGTCTGCCTTCCTTATTAGACTGAGATCCTTAAGGCAGTAAACAATTTGAGTGACCTGACCTTTCTTTGTCTCAGTTTGTTTATCTGTATTTTTCTTTTTGAGACAGAGTCTCACTTTGTAGCCCTAGGTAGAATGTCGTGGCATCACAGCTCACAGCAACTTCAAACTCTTGGGCTTAAACCATCCTCTTGCCTCAGCCTCCCCAGTAGCTGGGAATACAGGTGCCTACCACAATGCCTGTCTATTTTTAGAGACAGGGGTCTTCCTCTAGCTCAGGCTGGTCTCAAACTCCTGAGCTCAGGGTAGTCCAGCTGCCTCGGTAGGATTACAGGCATGAGCTACCATGCCCTCAGTTTGTTTATCTGTAAAGTGGAGATAATATTAGTATTTATCTCAAAGGGCTACCATAAAGATCAAAGAATTAATACACATAATGTGCAGAGTTCAGTGCCTGGCACATACTCAACACTCAATAAATGTTAAGTTTTATATTCTCTCTAGCCTTAGCATGGCATCCGGTATAATAGTGATGCATACCATAGGCTTTGGAATGAATGAATGAATAATGCTAGAGTGCTAAGGAATGATCAGTTCTTAAAGAAGATGTGGGCATTATAAGAGGTTTCAATTACTGCTCTAACAAGCAAGACAAACTTAACATGTTCTCTCAGGAGCTTGACATGTCCAAACTGGACTGGTCATGACCCTTGTGCTTACTTACTGTCTCCTTCAGTTGACTCTAAGTTACATTCATATACTCATTCAAAGAATATTTTGTAGCACTTGCTATGTGCTAAGTACTGTTTAATAAAGTTATCAGATCAAGAAAATGTCTAGCTAGTCCAACGTAGGATAGATGGCAAAGACCACACTGAGGATGAGGCAACATAAACAGAAGTATTTGTAACTGGTTTAATTACTATAAATAAACAGTGATAGTTAATATGTGATTATCAACTTAAAAGGAACATTCTAGAAACAGGCTACTATACTATTATGAATAAGATCTCTAGAGCCCAACTATCAGAGTTTGAATTTTGGATCAGCCACTTATTGGCTATATGATTTGAGGTACAATATCTAACTTCCTCATGCTTCATTTTCCTTATCTGAAATGAGGATAGTAGTAACATCTACCTCATAAGGTTGTGATAAGTATTTAGTGGCTTTATTTGTGTTGAGAACATACTAAGGAAGCCATACCTACTTAAAATTTTTTGATCATGACTTTGTTGGAGTATTAAAGTTTACTGATCAAATCAGTAAATGATGTGAAACTTGGAAGACTAGGAAATACTTTAGGAGACTGAAGCTTAGCAAGCTGAAACAATGGGTCAAATCTAATAAGGTAAAACATAATAGGGTATATCATTCAGGATTGTTTAGATAGGCATGCATAAGACACTCTGTTTACTAATCTCATAAGATTGTATCCAGTGATGAAGATATAATTTCCTAAACAGAAATAAGAATAGGACAGAAACAGGGCAGTCAACTAGATAAAAAATGTCCACTATATGGGTATATATATATATATATATATATATGGCTGAAAATGGTAATCATAGAAATACAAGATGGCAAATGAGTGGTTTGGAATAAGGACAAACAAAAAATACTTAAAGATTAGTGAACAGCTGTTCAAACAAATTAAAAATTGGTAGTGTCTACAAAACAATGACAAAAAGATGAGTTCCTATGGTGTTAATAGACATGTTCTTAATGTCTGCTTACTGGTAAGTCAGTTTATTTTTCCCTGGTCTCTATTTACTATTTTAACCTCAGGAAAAATGTAAAAACAGATATAGTCTTACAAAGAAGGAAAACATATAGCATATTTTCCTCAGCCCCCTAGGAAGAGGAAGAAAAAAGCTGGTGCACGATGAGAAGAGAATGGAGCTGGGGAAGTAGGTGGTAAAAGGTGTGTACATTAAGTACCAGGGTTGGAAGATATATTAGATAGGTTGAGAGTAAATATGGAAACAAAAGAGTTTCCTCCATTTTCCATATTTTCAGATATGTTGAGTTAAGTAAAATGTATTTTTTTTTTTTTTGAGACAGAGCCTCAGGCTGTCCCCCTGGGTAGAGTGCCGTGGCATCACGCTCACAGCAACCTCCAGCTCCTGGGCTCAAGCGAGTCTCCTGCCTCAGCCTCCCAAGTAGCTGGGACCACAGGCGCCCGCCACAACGCTCGGCTATTTTTTGGTTGCAGCTGTCATTGTTGTTTGGCGGGCCCGGGCTGGGGATTCGAACCCGCCACCTTAGGTGTATGTGGCTGGCGCCTTAGCCGCTTGAGCCACAGGCGCCGAGCCAGTAAAATGTATTATTAAAGTGAATTTCATGTTAAAACATTTGGATACTAGAAATTCTAAAATTACACATGTGGTTTGCATTTGTGGCTCACATTATATTTCTATTGTACAGGACTGCTATAGAGGGAATAGGAAGGTGAGAAAAATCTGAAAGATTTTAGAGTGAGTCCTTTCAAATAAATTGAGTTAACCAACTTAAAAACATGATTTCAGGTATTGATTCCAACTTAGTTTGCCAGATTGAACTAAGTAGATGTTTTCTATAACCCACTAGTGTAGAATTCAACAACTTCTATTGTTTTAGAAGTTACATTTTCTTTGCTTGTGGGATGGGGGACTGAACCATTTGTTTTTGTGTTAAAATAAAAGTCACTGGAGAACTCAAAGCCACCTAGGCAGTTGGAGGTATCTAATAATACCATACATAGTCTTGAAGGATGATAAGTTCAATATTACAGAAAGTATTTAGAGGTTCTAATTGATGAAATGTTCTAACCTTGATCCAGGAAAAGGGCTCCTTGGTGCTCCAGGCATTGATTGATCCAGAAAAATGAAGTCTTGCCAGCTTTGGGGCCCATTGTCCTTTGCCCAAGAAAGGGAAGAGAGATTAAATTCAGCTGGTTTGGTTCTAGACCCTTGGGAATAAAATTACTTTCTTTTCTTTCTTTCTTTCTTTTTTTTTGGGGGGGAGGACAGAGTCTCACTTTATTGCCCTCGGTAGAGTGCCATGGCGTCACAGCTCACAGCAGCCTCAAACTCCTGGGCTTAGGTGATTCTCTTGCCTCAGCCTACCTACAGGTGCCTGCCACAATGCCAGGCTATTTTTTGTTGCACTTTGGCTGGGGCCAGGTTTGAACCAGCCACCCTTGTTATATGGGGCTGGTGCCCTACCCACTGAGCACATGTACCACCCTAAAATTACTCTCTTGGAAGGGTTAGTCCTAGCCATGGAGAAGATCGAGAAAAACATAGAGACTTTATAGAAGTATCGATTACTATGTTAGGGTTTTTTACTTGTCCTTCATGTCCATTCTATTCTCTAAAGTTTAATAATTTTGTTGATTATTAGTATCTCTAATTAACTGATACTGGAATTTGTTGCCAGAACTACTAAATAATATTATTATTTCTTTATTATGCAATGCATGTTCATCATAGAAAAATGAAAACACGGCAATAAAAAGAAGTAAAAGTAAATATAAAATAGATTTAAGAAGCACAATCCTTCCACCCAGAGAAAAATACCTGTATTACTATTTTGCTATCTAACTCTCAAGCTTCTTTTTAAAGGGGAATTTTTTTCCCCTCTAAAACAAGTGTTGGTAAACTTTCTGTAAAGGGCCAGATTCTGAATAATTTAGGCTTTGCAGATTATATGGTCTGTGTTGCAAGTACACAACTGCTGTTATAGCCATAGATGATGTGTAAATGAATAGGCATGGCTGTGTTCAAATACCAAACTATTGTGGATGCTGAAATTTGGATATTATAATTCTCACATGTCATGAATTATTCTTCTTGTTTCAATCATTTGAAAATGGAAAATCTATTCTTAGCTTACATGTCATATAAAAATAGGTGGTAAACTGCATTTGGCTTGTGGACAGTAGTTTGACAACCCTTGCTCTAAAATAATATTGTATTTAGAATTCTAGATCCTACTCAAGCTTCACCATTACTGTACACAGGAAGGTAGAGTTTCCTGATATAGTGAAGAGAATAGACTCAAGGGAAACAATACTAAAGGCAGGAAGGATATTTAAGGAAGCAGTGCCATGGCCCACGTGAGAAATGATGGTGGTCGGGCTTTAGATGGTCACAGTGGGAAATGGAGAAGAGGAGATGGAATAAAAGTAATAGAATCATAGGGATGAATTGGTTATCTGAAACTCTCCAAGAGAAATAAATAAAAGATATAATCAGCTCAATTTCTTGCAGCCAAAATAATAGTATAACATTTACCATATTGTCCTGAAGCTGTAATCTGAAAATCTCGAATGTGTCCAGAAGCCATTCCCAGTGGATTTTGACACTCTGAAATCAAATAGGGGGAAACACACTAGCTAGAAGTACACAAAATTGAGCTTCTCAAATGTAAGTCAATGAAAATGGGAGAACGTCAACAAATGCCAATATTTTATAGTGTTTATTATAAAACTGTACTGCCAATAACTGTACTGTTTTATTGTACTGTCTCATTTAATTCATCCTAATAAGTGGTAAAATGACTCACATTTTGCAAATATACCAGTGGTTCTCTTCCTTGTTTAGAGTTAAATTCCCAAACTCTTCCAAGTGATACATGTATATATAAGTCATTTCTGGTAATTTAACAAAAATTAAGTTCCTAAATCTGCTATTGGAAATCTTGGAACATCTCAAAGTTGTGAAAATAGGGACTTTTTTTCAAAGCTTCAAGAATGCTCTCCTCTGAGGACTGTAATGATTTCTACTAGCAATATTCATTTTAAATTTGACAATAATGTGAGCTTGTATTTATTTCTTAACACAGGCAACCATTCTAGGAAAAAAGAAATCTTTACAGAAGCAGGCAGTGTAGGCAGGGAGCCCATAGGGGTACTCACGCTTGCTGTACACCAGAAAAAGAGTGCTCATCCCAGCATGTAGGTGCTCTCCAATAAGGCATTCTACCCGCCAAATTCCAGCTTTGGATGGTAGCATTTCCACTGTCTCAAAAACACCTTACGAAAACCGAAAGGAAAAAAGTTATTTCTTTTCACTTAAAAAATGAGCATGAGGTATATTGGCTTATACAGAAGACCAAAGAAGATCTACCAAATTCAGTTCTAGCATTTTTGGACCCCTCAAACCCAATGTGCTTACTTGGTATGTGACCACTATAGTTGGAAACACTAGAGGTTGAGTTCTGATCATTCCTCTCCCAAGGAAATGAGGGACAGGTGGACTGAATGTTTTAATTTTTTTTTTTTTGCAGTTTTTGGCTGGGGCTAGGTTTGAACCCACCACCTCCAGCACATGGGGCCAGCACCCTACTCCTTTCAGCCACAGGCGCTGCCCTAGACTGAATGTTTAGATGGTAGGGGTAGGAGAATGCTAACGCATTAGGATTGGCCTTCACTCCCAGGGTTTTTCAAAGCAAAAGGTGTATTTCCCACTGACCATATGTGAACTCTGAGGGAAAGAGAAGTCAGGGTTGAATCTTATTGGATCCAGTCAACTAGGGCTGTCAAGAGGGGTAAAGTTTCCCCAGCAGCAAGAAGCTGGATGTGAATGCTGAGGTGCTGAGAAATGTGTCACAGTGAACATCCAGAATAAAGGTGAAACCAACCAACTAAAGGGTATTTCATGAGAGAGGGTCCCATAAGGGAGTCTTTCAAATGTCCCCTGCAAGTAGGCTGCAAGAGAAAGAGCCAGCTTTAAGTGTCTGCCAGTTGCTGACAATGTGAGGATACCTTACCTTAATGTTAACAGTCCCATTTTTAAGTAGGTAAGAACTGTCCTATCCTCTTCCCTTTAACCTATCCTTGCTAGAGTTTAAAATAGCAGCTAGCAAGGGGTTGTTTTCCTTTCCCAATTTAGACTTCCAGCCCCATGCAGGCTCCAGATGGGGGAGGGGAGATTGAAGTTAAATCAAGTTCATAATTTTGATTAATATCTTGGAATTGACATTGTAATTTCTGACTTGAACTGTATTTATAACATGAAGTGACTTCAGGCCTGTTTATTACTTAAGACTGAGCAGAAAATTCATAGGGATTATCAGAATTTTTAGGAAGAAATAAGGGAATTTAACTCCCAGTATTAAACCTGTTTTAAAAGGACAGTGGAAAACCAAAATAAAATTGTATAGTTCTTAATCAATATACAGGTTACATATATAAGCAAATCACTCTTTGATAACTACTGGTACCCTGTGGGATTTGAGATGGTAAATAAGGGAAATTGCTGTGACATTAATTATCCATTTAGTCTGTTTGATTTCCTTTATAGCAATTATTCTGTATCTGAAATGATCTTGTTCCTTTGCTAATTTATTTATCTCTCTCTAGAGTTGAAAAAGTAAGTTAACTGAGGGTATGAAGCTTGTTTGTTTTGTTCACTGTATTCCTAATGTCATGATCGTTTAAAGTAAGTACAATAGGTAGAAGAAAGAGCATAAATTGGCCCGTACCTGGATAGAGGTTGTACACTGCCATTTTATACTCTTCTTTTTTCCGTACAGTAAACACATGTCCACTAAAGTGAATAGAATGGATGTTTTCATTGCTGCCCATGCTGAGCAGATACCATCGGATCCTTTGATCCTCAGCCATCACTAAGCCAGGTAGTGTATCCATCACATAACCATTGATTGCTAGAGGGAGAACACAGGGAGCTTTGTTCAAATCTCTCATATAAGGTTCTTTCCCTCCACTCCCCTAAAAATACTGACACTTATGAGGATTCCGCTGCACCACATATAGTCTAAATTAAAACAGTATTCAAATCTCTGGTTCAAGGCTCATTTGTCAAAGCACATGCATGCTGCATTTCACAGTGAGTAATATTTGAGTATAGGATATATTACCATGGAAGCGATAATTCTCTTTAAAAGTTGGGTCTTCCATGTTGCAGGGAGCCCTGCAGTTCCTTTCAATGTTTTCAGTGAAGTACCAGCTCTTGGTCTCATCAAAGATAGTGAAAAACAGAGCAAATTCCTGTACTGTCACTTGTCTCCCATGAGCAGGGTTCAGTGTGTTAGAGTGGCAGATCAGAATAGGTCCAATCAAGCCTGAGTGTATATCTTTTTCCTACAGAAAGAAGACAAATCTATGAGTATAAGCTCTTTCACTTATGAACAAGAGTGGACTTTTCATCAATTTTAATGCCACTCCAACCTGTACCCCATCTTCCCACTGTACATACAATGTATCCTCTTCAGTAGATTCCAGAGCAATATTTCTAAAACAAAAACATGTCATCTCTCTTAAAGATTTTCATTGTGTGCAGTATAAATACCAAAATTCATAGCAAACAACATAAAGATCATTATTTTAAATCAGAAGTGGCCAGCACATCAGAGACCTGCTTACCAAGTCAACATCAGAGAAATACGCCCAGGCTTTGCAGTCAAACTCATCCTTAGTGGGTGCCATATGATGTTGCACTTTCCAAAAGTAAGTTTTGGTTTCATTAGGCTTGGCAAAGTTTTTTCTAGGTTCTGCTCCTTGTCTCTGATCTTCCTCATAAGAAATAAGGCTAGAATAGAAGGAATAGGGACGAGAGGCCTGATTTTTGAAAGTTACCTGCAGAGGAAAAAAAAAAAAAAAACCACAAGAATCATTTTTGTTTGGATTTTAAAGTCCTTAGTTTATATAGGATAGATGTTGTAGAACCCAAACCTAAAATATATGAAAGCAATTCTGAGGAATGTTTCTATTCTAAATTTAAAGCATGAATTTATACTTGCAAAGGAGAAAATTCCTAAATACTTAAAAACAATTCCAAAGTAAAAGGTAAAATGCCACCACAGAGGTTTCAAGAGATAATAACCCCAGGAGTTGATATTTAAAGTTTTTCATGACAAATTCCAGGATGAATGCATATTATCTTTTTTAAAAAAACCTTGTTTTCAGGTTGCAAAAGTATACATATTTATCAAAGAACACATGGAAAATTAAAATTCAAGGCAGAAAAATCCACCCACAATTGCATAATTTTATGATCCTTCTTTTTTCCCTGTTTTTAGTAGAAATGAGGTCTCACTCTTGTTCAGGTGGGTCTTGAACTCCTCCCAGAGTGCTAGGATGAGCCACTGCTCCCAGCTAGATCCTTCTATGTACTACATATAATACCTATGGGACACTGGAGAGGTAAATTTGGAAAAAAAGAAAACTACTTTGATCTTTGGCTCACACAGTGCACCAAATAACTAACTTTTAGTCTATAAAAATTACTGGTGGATTAAAAGGTTAAACATAAAGAATTTAAGTGTAAAAGAAAGTTGAATAAGGCATAAGTGATTTAAATATATCTCTGGGTAGGGAGGGAATTTTACAAACATAAAAGTGGTAAAAGTGTCCAAAAGGAAAGATTGAGGGGTTGCAAACTAAAAATTCAGGCCTTTTTTATTTAAAAAACCATCATATATAAAATTAAGGGACAACATAATTGAAAAATTTTGTTTATTTTGCTGGGGATTCATTGAGATTACAAATAAGGTTACATTGATTGTATTTGTTAGGTACAGTCCCTCTTATAATTGTGTCCTGCCCCCCAAAGGTGTGTCAGACACTGTGACCCCCCTACCCACCTCCCTCCTTTCCTTGCTGTCTTCCCCTTCTCCCACCCTCACCATGTACTAGGTCATTAATTGTCCTCATATCAGAATTGAGTACATAGGATTCTTGCTTCTACATTTTTGTGATGCTTTACTAAGAATAATGTGTTCCACTTCTATTTAATGGCTGAATAGTAGTCCATGGTATACATATACCACAGATTGTTAATCCACTCCTGGGTTGGTGGGCATTTAGGCTGTTTCCACATTTTGGTGATTGTAAATTGAGCTGTGATAAACAGTCTAGTACAAATGTCCTTATGGTAAAAGGATTTTTTCTCTTCTGGGTAGATGCCCAGTAGTGGGATTGCAGGATCAAATGGGAAGTCTAGTTTGGGTTCTTTGAGGGTTCTCCATACTTCCTTCCAAAAAGGTTGTATTAGTTTGCAGTCTCACTAGCACTGTAAAAATGTTCCCTTCTCTCTACATCCATGCCAGCATCTGCAGTTTTGAGATTTTTCTAATGTGGACCATTCTCACTGGGGTTAGATGATATCTCAGGGTGGTTTTGATTTGCATTTCTCTGATAATTAGGGATGAGGAGCATTTTTTCATATGTTTGTTAGCCATTCCTCTGTCTTCTTTAGAGAAGGTTCTATTCATCTCTTTTGCCCATTGATATAAGAGATTGTTGGCTTTTCTCATGTAGATTAATTTGAGTTCTGTGTAGATCCTAGTTATTAAGCTTTGGTCTGCATAATTTCCACATGTGTAAAATAGTCTGATGTACTACTTTCTATCTAAAATTGTTAACTAAAAGTCTATAGAGAGCTTAGAACATTGTCTAGTGTATAGTGAACTTTTGACAGTCACATTATATTTTAATAATTATCATTTTAAGGCCAGCCGCAGTGGCTCATGTGTGTAATCCTAGCACTCTGGGAAGCCAAGGCCGGTGGACTGCCTGAGTTTGGGACTTCAAGACCAGCCTTAACCAGAGCAAGATCCTATCTCTAAAAATAGCTGCATGTTGTGGTGGGTGCCTGTAGTCTCAGTTACTAGCGAGGCTGAGGCAAGAGAATCACTTGAGCCCAATAGTCAGAGGTTGCTGTAAGCTATAATGCCACAGCACTCTAGACAAAAAAAAAAAAAAAAAAAGACTTGCAAACTAGGATAACTGATGTGATTGCTGGTATTACTGAAAATCAGCTTGAAAATGTTTTCATAGAACTACAGAATCATATTACCCTTTGTATTGGTAATGATGGTGGACATGTTGAAAATTAACAAGAATAAAAAATGTGTTTCTTTCCAATCTTTAAAAAAAAAAAAAGCTTTGCTCTGATTCAAAATATGCAAATATCCTTTCCCATTGTGTAGGTTGTCTATTTGTTTTGATTGTTGTCTCAGCTGTACAGAAGCTTTTTAGTTTAAGTCCCATTTGTTTATTTTTGTTGTTGTTGCAGTTGCCATGACAGTCTTCTTCATGAAGTCTTTCCCCAGGCCCATATCTTTGTTTTACTCATGCTTTCTTTGAGGATTTTTATCATTTCATGCCTTAAATTTAGGTCTTTTATCCATCTTGAATCAATTTTTGTGAGTTGGGCAAGGTGGGGGTCCAGTTTTAGTCTTTTACATGTGGACATCCAGTTCTCCCTGTACCATTAATTGAATAGGTATTCTTTCCCCCAGTGTATATTCTTGTTTGGTTTATCGAAGATTAGGTGGTTATAAGATGTTAAGGCATCCAAATGGGAGCAGAGGAGATTAAACTCTCCCTCTTTGCTGATGATACGATCTTATACTTAGAGAACCCCAAAGACTCAACCAATTCATGGAAGTGATCAAAATATGCAGTAATGTCTCAGGATATAAAATCAATGTCCACAAATCAGTAGCCTTTGTATATGCCAATAACAGCCAAGATGAGAAGCTAATTAAGGACACAATCCCCTTCACAGTAGCTTCAAAGAAAATGAAATACCTAGGAATATATCTAACAAAGGAGGTGAAGGACCTCTATAAAAAAAATTATGAAATCCTAAGAAAAGAAATAGCAAAATATATTAACTAATGGAAGAACATACCATGCTCATGACTGGGAAGAATCAACATTGTTAAAATGTCTATACTTCCCAAAGCAATCTACAGATTCAATGCCATCCCTATTAAAATACCAACATTGTACTTTCAAGAGTTGGAAAAAGTAATTCTTTGTTTTGTATGGAACCAGAAAAAAAAAAAAAACCGTATAGCTAAGGCAGTTCTTAGTAATAAAAACAAAGCTGGGGCAACAGCATACCAGATTTTAGGTTGTACTACAAGGCCATAGTGGTCAAAACAGCATGGTATTGGTACAAAAATATGGAACATCTGGAACTGAATAGAAAACCAGGAGATGAAACTAACAACGTATAGCAAACTAATCTTTAAAAAATACTTTTCACTGGGATCAGTGGTTAGTATCTTAATATATAAGGTAATATAATTAATAAGAAAAGCACTCTCTCAAAAAAGACAAATGTGCAAAGATAATTAAGAGATAATTGATAAGAGAAAGGCTTTAAATGTTCATGTATATTGCACTTCTGAAATTTTACCCTAGGAAAAGAGTTGTGATTATGGCATTATTTATATACATATAGTGAAAAAAAGAAACTTTTAAACAGATTTTTCAGTGTAAATGACTAAGTAAACTATACTTCCTTAGGTTCACATAATAGACTATTAAACAGTCATTTTGAAAAAGACACTTATGAAGTGTTTTTAATGACATAAGAAATGCTCATGAAATACTTCTAAAACAAGAAGCAGAATTATATATGGAACAATTTTTGAATACATAAATGAGAAAAAACAGAGGAGAAAGATAAAAATATATACTAAAATGATAATTATGGGATTATTTTTCAACTTCACTATTTTTCTATACTTTAGAAATTTCCAATAGTAAGCATATATTATTTTATAATCAGAAACAAAATAAATATATAATATGAATGTCCTTGAAATTTCACTGTCCTTAACTCACCACAATATTGTCTTCAACTTCTGCTCTTATATATGGCCCCAAGAGTCCTAAGTGTTCATTTAGTTCTCCACGGTATAATGGCTGAGTAAAGGAGCCATCAGTAAATTCCTGGAAAACCGCCTTCTTGAACTGAGGGACTCTGCCACTCTGAGCCCTGGAGAAAAAAAGCAGAATTCTGGTGGACCAAATGGATAGAAATGCCTCACATCCTTGCCTTCCTTATATTTGAGAAACATTTAGTAGACGTAATGATGGATTGCAAGTGTAATTGGGGCATGGAGGAAAGTAAGAGGAATTAAAACTAACTTTCAGGTTTCTGGTTTGGAAAATTGGGGGGATGGTGATGCAATTCACTGAAAGAGGGAAATGTAGAGGAGTATATTGGGGTTATGCTTTTAGACAGATGAGACATCTATGTGAATTAAATTGGAAAGTACACAGAGGTCAGGAGTTCACAGAAGAGGTCTAGATGAAGATCATCTGTATTTCTATTGTATCCAAGTTATGGAAGTGGCTTACCAAAGCCAATTTCTTATGTCCTCATTTTACTAGACATTTATGAAGCATTTTCCATAAGCTAACCACTCCATCCTCTTTGAAATACTCTGTCCCAGACTCCACTACTATTTAAGTTTCAGGAAAGCAGGAATTTAGCCTGTTTTGTTTAGTGCTGCATTCCCAGACATTGAAACAGTGCTTGACACAAAGCAGGTGCTCAAAAATATTTGTTGAATGTTGAATGAACGTATAGTTTAGAAACATACTCCAAATATAAGACAGCTCCAGGGTGCAGTCCTTGGACCTCTTTGACTTTTTGTTTTTGAGACAGAGTGTAACTCTGTCACCAGGCTAGAGTGCTATGGCATCAAAGCTCACATCAACCTCAAACTCTTGGGCTTAAGCAATCCTCTTGCCTCAGTCACTCAAGTAGCTAGGACTACAGGTGCCTGCCACTATACCTGGCTAGTTTTTTCTATTCTGGTAGAGATGGGGGTCTTGCTCTTGCCCAGGCTGGTCTTGAACTCCTGAGCTCAAGCGATTGTCCCACCTTGGCCTCCCAGAGTGCTAGGATTACAGGTGTGAGCCACTGAGCCTGGATTTTTCTTCAGTTTTTAAAGACCTTTTAAAATTGTGAAGTAAAATGTATACAATAAAGTACATAAAACATAAATGCCTTTTATAGAAAAATGCAACCATCACCCAGATTGAAAACATTGCCAGTAACCCAAAAGACTCACTGTATGTTCCATTCCAAGCACACTCTCCCTCACTGAAGGTAACCATGATTCTGACATTTATCATAATAATTTCTTGGCTTTTCCTTTAATTTTAGCACTTACATACACATCATTAAAAATATAGTTTTGCCTGGTTTTGAAGTATGTAAATAGAAACACATTGTATATATTTTGTATCTTCTTTCATCCAACATGATAGTTGTGAGATTCATCTACATTGTTTTGTTTTGTGCATCTATTGCTATTCATTCCCATTGTTGTATACTATTCCATTATATGAGTATGCCCCAATCATGAACATTCTAGTTGTTCTAATTTTTGCTACTCAGAAACAGACCTGCTAGAACCTTCTAGGTTCTATGTTTTCTCCTTCCAGATGCCTGGGGGCACTGCCAATCCAAAGCTGGATTAAATTATGATCAGGAATAAAGCTTTCATGGACAACATGGATGATAAAAAACTGGGCTGTAAGTTAATGAAGTTCAAGTTAACTGATTCACCATTACCTTGAGGATGTTGCTAATTGGGGATACAGCTTCAATTGAGGGCGATTATTTTTTTTTTTTT